AACATAACGCACTGAATATGACTGTAATTAATTACAATTAACACGATATTTTGACACCCCTAATATTAATACTATATCTGCAAATTAAAACAAATAGACATGTTTATTATAGTTATTCATGGTGTAAAGTAAGAAGTAACATTAGTTGACTATTGACAATGATCAATTATATATAAAGGAGGTCAAAATCCTATGACTATAGTAATCTGACCCCCCAGTGTGTTTATTATAGTTAGATACAAGTGGCTCACCTGCATATGTTACATTTACACAAAATACCAATTCGTTCTCCATCAAAACATTCCTTAAAATATCTTAAAAGAAAGTGAGTATGTAGTAATATATAATAAAAGTAAATGACATGAGAAATAATGATCAGATAAGTAACTACTAAAGAAAAAAAGTAAGGGGAGTCAAAATCCTATGGGGGGTCACTTTACCGTAGCGGCATGTTCACCTCGGGGTCAACATAAAATCCTATCTCACACCGGCTCTGCGTGGACGCCTGAAAACACTGATACTCTGACGTAGGAGCTCGAGTTTTGTCCGTATTGGACACGTGACTCGCTCCTTCTGATTCGCTGGGTTCGTGACATCGGTCATGTGACGCTGTTGCGGAAAACAGTTTAAACAAACCAGAGACGAACGAGAAACAGCCGAGATACAAATACTCACACAGAACAGACTCACCATCAGCAGAACATCCCTCTGTCACAGAAAGAACACTCATATTCCACTGAGTCGTGAACTTTAGTCCAACAGAAGCTGAACCGCATCAGCGCACAAGGAAAGAGCTGTTTTTTCAGAGCTTATAGTTTATGCAAATGAGTCATGTGGTTTTAAAGGTTGTATGGAGGATTTTTTTTTGTTTCAAATTGTCAGTGATAGATTATATAGATGCAGTCGCCTTGTAATTATGATGATCAAAAAAAAGAGAGTAAAAATTCATCAACTCTGGACGTGGTGGGGCTAAACATTTGCCAATAGATAACGACACTGCCTCGTTATCTGTGAGCTGACAGGCTGTCAATCAAACTCCCTACGTTTCTAGTGTAACTGACTTGTCTGCGCCGCCGTTACGTGGTTTACGTACGACTGTCACGCAGTCCACAGACGCAAGACGCACAGACGCTGTTTACTCCACCAACGCAACAGTTCTTAGAGGCTTTTTTGACCTATATCTTCCTCGCAGTTTGCACAAAGTTTGTTGCGATGGCGACAAGAATCCAGGAGCAGTTCGCCGCAAAAGAAAGTCCGTTTTTGAGGTCGCTGAAAGAAGAAGACAAGGGGAAAAGCAGCGAAGCCAAACTAAGGTGATTCTTGTAGATTCATTCCAGCGATGGAGCGACTGAAGCAGACGAAGGGTCTAAAGACTGAACCACTGGTCCACAAATTACTCCTGGACAGGAAACTTCTGCTTATTATGAAAACGTACTTTATTTCCAAGAGCGAGACAAAGGTTTTTCAGGACACGAGAGCGATATCCTATGTCTGAAAACGTAATTTTCAAGGCAAAGAAAGAGTCCGCTTGCTGCTGCGTGTTGTTGCTAGTTCATTCGCACTGAATCTCCGCGCATCTTCTCTGCTCCCCTTTCCTGCTCCTCACTTCTCCGTCTTGTCTAACCAACACTGTAGTTAGTTGTTTACAAGTCATGTGCAGTTCACCGGCTGTAAACAAACCTGTTTGTGGCGTAAAGAGGAGGAGGGAGGAGGTGTTTCTACGTAGGAGCTGTAGGGGAGGGGAGGTGGTTTCACACATGCGCAACACTTGAAAAAGGACAAACAGTCGCTGGATTTCTCGTTCCTTGGAAAATCCTCTATACAACCTTTAAGTTTCATTTCTGTAAAATGTAAACAAATGTGCTCAAAGCTGTGTGGCTAGAGAAGGATTGCGGACACAGAAATTACGTGTTTGGACACAAATCGTTTCCGATACGGTGATACAGGGATTGGTTTCAGTGTAAACGGGGTCAAAAACAAGCATTAAGTTCTATAGAATAATGATCAGTCAGAATTTGGAACTGGACAGATGTGGAATTATTTGATCAGAATCAGACTGAGCTCTTGGGGACTTTTTTGACCCAATGAGGATGAGCGGTGTGGAGAGATCGGTGGAGGTCAGAGGGGCTGACGATGACACTCGACCTCACATCGTATCGTCAAACTCAAATTCACAAAGACCAAAATTAAAAACTGGGACTAAATCGTCGGCCCAAACTAAACATTTACTGAAAAATGTCAACATCATCTTCGTGTTTTCTCTTTTTTTCGAGATCTGTAATAAAACTCTTCTTATTCAAATAAATGTTTAATTGTAGTTTTGTTTAAACATTGAATAAATAACGTCTCTTTATCTCTCCAAACTGTATCTCGGGAGAAACCAGAAGCTCTCCTCTCACTAAGGGATTTCTGAATTAAACGTGCTGAATATAGTTTATAGAATTACAGTGTTGAATAAGTAAAATGTGATTAAATAAAAGCCTGTTACCATTGTGCACGAATAAATGGATAATGGTTTATGCTTTATCGGCATCGAGTTAATATGTACGGCTTAAACATTCTCAATATCTAAGGCTTATATATACTCAGTTTTTTTGTGACGGCTGAAACTAGAAGCTCTCTGGTATTTTCGTTTTGTAAATGTCGCTCACAAGAGGAAAAAGCTCGGAGAACCTCTGCTGTGGTTTATCTGTGTGCGGCGGCAGCTCTAAAACATGTTTGATATGAACTCACGGGCCAAATATAATTACATCACGGCCCAAATTTGGCCCCCGCGCCTGACTTTGACACGTCTGGTTTAATGTTTAATGATGATACAGTATCGATATCGTGGGCTGCTGTATCGATATATCACCAAGAGTATTTTTTGGTTTAACATTTTCACTGTTTTGATGATTAAAATGTTTGTGTTTCATATGAACTTTGCACAAAAACTTTTTAACAAAGACTTTTCGTGTCACAGACATGATTTTTCAGCCTTTATTTTTTACTGGACCGTATCAAATCTCTATAAAATAGATCGTATCAAATCAAAAAGTCACTGTACTGAGGTCTGTACGTTACCAGTAACTTCTTAATGACACCCAGTCCGAGCATCCGTGTCTCTAGATTTAGAAGTTCACGGCTTCAGTCAGACAAAACACAGATTATAAATGATGAATTTCAAATAAAAAGATAATTATGATCATTTCTTCATTTAGTCACACATTTGAAATTGCCTCCACATCGAGGCTGATTCTCAAACTGTGGTACACAAACTCCTTCAGTGGTACTTGGACAGTTTGTGTGTTTGCTTGATTTTAGGTTCATTTTATCTCCATCTTTCTGTCAAAAACTACAGTGGGATGATTTAGACCTGATTTGGCCCTAGATTAGACCCAGAATAGTCCTGGTTTAGATTTGAAAAGTAAGTAAGTCCCTATTTATATCGCGCTTTTCACAGACATTTTTTGTCACAAAGACACTTTACAGATCATTATTCAGCATTAATCATTCACTCTACACCTGCTGATGGTAAAATACTGTAGTAGCCACAGCTGCCCTGCAAATCAGCACCATCGGTCCCTCCGACCACCACCATCACACACACACACCACTTTCATACTAGACAATGTGGGCGAAGTGTCTTGCCTAAGGACACAATGATTGAGTTGATTGTGTTTAACTGACCTGGACCATCAACTGTTCTGGACCTGGAGCAGGTTTTGTGTTGATGGGGAAACCGGAGGAAACTCATCCAGACACGAGGAGAAACATGCAAACTCCACACAGAAAGACCCGGGCGACACGGGGATCAAACCCAGAACCTTCTTGCTGTGAGGCATGAGTGCTAAACACAAATCCAGTACTCGAAAAGTCAAATAGTTTTTTTGTTGGTATTTTGTGTGAATGGTTTGAGAGGTTACGGGCAACTTTGAACTCATTTTCTGAACAAAGTCCCTGTAAATGTCACACATGGGTCATATTTAAAAGTTCATGGCCTCAGTCAAACAAAACACTGATCACAAATGATGAATTTCAAATAAAAAGATAATTATGATCATTTCCAGTTAGTCACACATTTGAAGTTGCCTCCACATCGAGGTTAGTAGGTCGGTGTTTCTCAAACTGAAGGACATGTACACAAACTCCTTCAGGTGGTACTGATTTTACGTTAATTTGATCCACTTTTCTGCCCACCTTTGGATAAATTCTTGTCAAAAACTACAGTGGAAATGATGAACTCCACCTCGAGACTTGATTTAGCCCTGGATTAGACCTGGAACAGTCCTGTTATAAACTTGGATTTAGATTCGAGACTAAATCTGGTCCTCGAAAAGCCAAATCTTTTCTTGTTGGTACTTTGTGTGAATGTTCTGAGAGCCTGTGGGCAACTTTGAACTGTTTTCTGATCCCAAATGTCACACTGTCTGACAAAACACTGAGCTCCTGCAGGTGGTACTTGGATATTTTGTGGGTTCTCTTGATTTTAGGTTAATTTTATCCACTTTATTAGATAAATTCTTGTCAAAAACTACAGTGGAAATGATGAACTCCACTTTTAGACCTGATTTAAACCTGGATTAGACCTGGAACAGTCCTGGTTTTGATTTGAAAACTAAACCCGGTACGCAAAAAGCCAAATCTTTTCTTGGTGATACTTTGTGCGAATGTGCAACTTTGAATCATTTTCTGCTCAAAAATTTCACCAAAATCTCTCTAAATGTCACGCACAGGTTATAAAAACAAAACTGAAACACTGCAGTTGACCCAAAACAACATAACAACCTAAGATAATCAACATGTTTTGCTGTCAGCGCTCACGAAATCCGTTTGTGTAGAGTTTTTTGCCACTTTCTTTTCGGTGCAAACGCGATTTCAGAGCAATGAAACTGCGCCAGAGGTTATTTTATTGCCGTGTCGGTGTTGTGGTCACGACTCTGGAGCGGCGCACGTCCCCAGGTAACCACCACGAGCACCGCCAGCACCGGGACAGGGACAAAGGTGCGCGCTTCTCTTACCTCCTCCACCACAGACACCGTGTTCCGACAGTCGCTCATCTTGGACTGGAAACTGGACGAGCCCGGCGAGTTTAAATCCTCGTTCGTCAGCACCACGAAGTCGGAAATACTGATCTGCTCCGGCATGTTTTTTTTAAACTCCCAAAAGTGATCAGCAAAGAGAGAAATCCGCAGCAGCTCCGCGCGTGTGTCCCATCTGAGAAAAAGACCCTCACCCCAGAGCTCGGGCCCGTGCGTAAAAACCACAATCGACGCTCGGTTTTGGGTTTGCAAAGTTGGTCCGAAGCGGTGGAAAAAAAGTTGGAAGCCGGAGCTGTGGAGAGTTGCTCGGTGAGTGTGCGCGCTTGGAGGTGCGTCGGGGCTGAGGAGGAGGAGGAGGAGGAGGAGCCCGGGGGTTTGTCACGTGGGAATGTTTGCGCTCCTTGGCACAGAGCAGCGGAAAGAGAGAAGAGGAAAGAGCGCGCTCCCCTCGCTTCTTTCTTTTCAGGTTTGAGGTGAGCGCCATGGAAACGCAAAGTCCCTTCAGCGCGCGTCGACAATGCGGAGGGGAAAAGTGTGGGAATGTTTTTTGGGGGGAATGTTTGAAAGAGGCTGGAGAGGTGCTGGAGAGGTCCGCGTGGAAACCGCATGTTCCGCCGAAGACCAAAGAGACAAAGTGGCTCGTTGTTGGGCTCCAGGTTCACGGACTCGAGTTAAAACAAGGTCTGGCACTTTAAGGAACCATTAAACCTTCATAAAACAGTGGATAAAGACCAGACTGTTGCTCCAGAAGCTCATTTGGAAACATAAACATGTTTTATAATTTAACCTCATGCCTGGACTAAAGCTGCACTTGCGCTGCTCCTGTTTTCGATAAAAATACATTTTTGTTCTGAGAGTTGCTTTTTTTTTTTTTTTTTTCTCCACTAATTTACAAATGGAGGTGAGGTGATAAAATTCAGAGAAATGTACGGAAATCTGACTGTATACAGTGTTGGGGAGTAACAGATTACATGTACCGGAGTAATCAGAGTACAAATGATGAGTAACTATTCAGTTACAGTTACTGTTTCAGTGAGTGGGAATTGGATTACAGTTACTTTGTTGAAATAAATGGATTACACAGAGGGATTTTCTTGTTTTCACATTTTGGACTAAACCAGGTCTAAACCAGGTCTAAACCAGGTCTAAACCAGGACTAAAACCAGGACTAAACCAGGTCTAAACCAGGACTAAACCAGGACTAAATCCAGGTCTAAACCAGGACTAAACCAGGTCTAAACCAGGACTAAACCAGGACTAAAACAGGTCTAAACCAGGACTAAACCAAGACTAAACCAGGATTAAACCAGGACTAAACAGGTCTAAACCAGGACTAAACCAGGACTAAAACAGGTCTAAACCAGGACTAAACCAAGACTAAACCAGGACTAAACCAGGTCTAAACCAGGACTAAAACAGGTCTAAACCAGGATTAAACCAGGACTAAACCAGGTCTAAACCAGGACTTAAAAAGGTCTAAACCAGGACTAAACCAGGTCTAAAACAGGACTAAACCAGGTCTAAACCAGGACTAAACCAGGTCTAAACCAGGACTAAACCAGGTCTAAACCAGGACTAAACCAGGTCTAAACCAGGACTAAACCAAGACTAAACCAGGTCTAATTTGAAGAGAACAAACGTAAATTTTCAGGATGTAGTTGGTTCATTCATGTAGTTTTTAAAAACATGACAATATCAAGTAATCCAAAGTATTCAGATTACATTACTCACTTTTAGTAATTTAATGGATTATGTTACAAACTACATTTTGGTGTGTGTAATCTGTAATCTGTAGGGGATTACATTTTAAAAGTCACCTTCTCAACACTGATTGTATATTATGAATGTCGTCTTAGTCTGTTTGTCTTTTGTTCTGTTTTGATTTGGTTTTTCTTTCTCTTCTGTAAATGACAGTTTTTTTTAAGGCAGCTTCACTTTTTCATCGCTGAGTCAGAACATAAACTCTTCCCAGTCTGAGCAGCTCATCAAAACAATGAGATTTTCTGCTTTTTATAAAGAAATACAATTCATATTATGTAGAATTGAGTTAAACATTTAGGCCTGAACCTCCACAATATTTTCTGTTTCTCATGTGGCCCCATGGAAAAAAGAATTGCTCAAGAGTAACGTTACTTCAAAATAATATTACTCAAGTTGAAGTACAGTGATCCAAGTGTGTAAAATCCCTCAGTCGTCCAGGTAGAGTCCACGGCAAAACTGAATTTTTCATTTGCAGAAGTCCAACAAGAGTAAAAAGTAAAGGTAAAATGGTACAAAAATCACAGTTCAGTTCGTACGTCGGTTTTGACTTCATGGTTTGGTTCATTTTCGGTTCAGTTTGGGAACAAAATGTAAAACCATTTGCTTGTTGTTTATTTGTGTTTTTATTAAAATTTGTTTGAACATTATACAAACTGGAAAATAAAATAAATGCAAAGATCTGCTTGATAAAACTAAATAAAAGTCCAATAAAATATTCTCAAGTAGGCAACAAATGTTTGAAATACGAACAGTTCCAGCATGAACTTTTACTCAATCTTAAGATTTCTGGCCAGAAAAAACAACTTGTTCACACTGTCTGCAGGAAGAGCAGATCTGGGGTCAGAGGCTGAAAATAAACAGTAAATTGTCACATTTTTCTACAGCACTTTTCCACCTTCAAGACTCAAAGCTTTACAACAAGGAACCACACACACATTCTTGGTGGATCCAGTGCTGCTTTATATATATTTATATATATTTATATATATTTATATATATTTGACTCACGTTGCTCTTGTTTTAGTTTTGGTTTCTGCCAGGTTCAGTCCAGGTTTAGTTCTGGTTTAGTCCAGGTTTAGTTCTGGGTTTAGTTCTGGGTTTAGTTCTGGGTTTAGTTCTGGGTTTAGTTCTGGGTTTAGTCCAGGTTTAGTCCAGGTTTAGTTCTGGGTTTAGTTCTGGGTTTAGTTCTGGGTTTAGTCCAGGTTTAGTCCAGGTTTAGTTCTGGGTTTAGTTCTGGGTTTAGTTCTGGGTTTTCCAGGTTTAGTCCAGGTTTAGTCCAGGTTTAGTTCTGGGTTTAGTCCAGGTTTAGTCCAGGTTTAGTTCTGGGTTTAGTCCAGGTTTAGTCCAGGTTTAGTTCTGGGTTTAGTCCAGGTTTAGTCCAGGTTTAGTTCTGGGTTTAGTCCAGGTTTAGTCCAGGTTTAGTCCAGGTTTAGTTCTGGGTTTAGTTCTGGGTTTAGTCCAGGTTTAGTCCAGGTTTAGTTTTTCTAGGGTTTAGTTCTGGGTTTAGTTCTGGGTTTAGTCCAGGTTTAGTTCTGGTTTAGTCCAGGTTTAGTTCTGGGTTTAGGTTCTGGGTTTAGTCCAGGTTTAGTCCAGGTTTTAGTTCTGGGTTTTAGTTCTGGGTTTAGTTCTGGGTTTAGTCCAGGTTTAGTCCAGGTTTAGTCCAGGTTTAGTCCAGGTTTAGTTCAGGTTTAGTTCGGGTTTAGTCCAGGTTTAGTCCAGGTTTAGTCCAGGTTTAGTTCTGGGTTTAGTTCTGGGTTTAGTCCAGGTTTAGTCCAGGTTTAGTCCAGGTTTAGTCCAGGTTTTAGTCCAGGTTTAGTTCTGGGTTTAGTCCAGGTTTAGTCCAGGTTTAGTTCTGGGTTTAGTCCAGGTTTTAGTCCAGGTTTAGTCCAGGTTTAGTTCTGGGTTGAGTCACACCCTGGACGATGGGAAGACGAGCGTCGCTTCAGGTTCTGGACGAGCCGCGCCTCATCACTCGTCTGCAGCCGAGCGCCTCAGCCTCCGTCCATCATCCGCCTGCAGACTCCACTCCCCTGTGACTCCTGGAGGTGTGGAGTGAAGCGGAGGTGGACCTGCACTCGCTCTTGATCCTCCACACCTGCAGTTTGAGCGTAAAACCACACATTTGTTTACATTTGAATGAGCCGTTTTAAATGATCACCGTGCCGTTTTTTTTTTTGTGGTTTGCAAATGACACGTCGTGAGACCTGCGAAGCGGCGAGGTTCACGTCCTGAGAGTGAATCACGATCTGGTGCAGTCCACGGGGAGGGGGGACATGTACACGCGCTGGAAAAGAAAAAGAAAAAAGCGAGCATGATGAAACCCTTCAGAGATTCTTCTGCTCTTATTCAGTTTCAGGTCATTTACGACTGGACTGTCCAAAAACTTTTGACTGAAGGCCACAGGTTCACGATAAATGTAAAATCATTTAAACGTCTTTTTCACTGAGTCTAGTAACGTTTAAGCAAAAGGGCAAAGTCAAGTAGAAGTAAACAACAAGACCAAAAATTCAAGTTAATTCATCTGATATAAAAAGTATTGAACAGATACATATGTACTCGAGTTTATCAAACTGTTCACCTTTTTTCTGGACCATTTTTGGTTCTAAAGTTCCATCCGTTTTAAACAGACCATGAATGAAACATGGAACAAAAATTATTTCCCAAATTTCAAAGACCTGAAAATCATGTAAATAAATGTTTGTATTTCATCATATCTTGTGTTATTGTGCAATTAAAACTGCACATAGGCTTAGGGAATGTGCAGTAATGAATAGAATACAAGAACGCAGAGGTCCTGCCTGTTAAGAATAATTTAAAGGTCCTGTTGGTGCATCACTCGAGTCAGACTTGGTCTCATATTTACTTTGTTCTATGGTTTTTGTTTATGTGCTGCTTTGTGTTGTGTCGTCCTGTTTTTTAATAAAGCTGTGACCCCCCGTCCCAAGACAAATTTCTCCCATGGGAGAAAATAAAGGATTATCTTCTCTTATTCCATCTTTGAACTGTTGATGAAGGGGCAAAAAAAAAAATTTAAATGATAAAAATTTGCTTAGAAGGACTGACATATTTTATAGAAATAGTTTTCTTTCATTTTGAAGTAATATTAAAGTTTTCAGAAGAAAAAAGCGACAAATGATGTAAAATCCTGCACCTTCTACTTGTTTGTACAATTTTCCCTCTGTTACTTTTCCCTCCGTTACCATGAACTTTCTTCTCTCATGAGTCAAAAAGTCAGAGGTTTTTCAACCTAATCTTGTACCATATGGTAGAAAACTATATGAAGCAAATATTCAAACCAGTTTGTTAAGGATATGGAAGTGAGAACCAAGAGTTATCACTGTTTGGATTTATTGACCAAAAAGTGCTGCATATTTCATTCCCTCCGTTACCGACATGAGTTTTTACATTTTTTTGTCTTGAACTTGAAAGAATCTCACAGGTTTAACTTGACCCTGTTGGAGTGTAACTCTTTCCTACATTCTGATACTTTACTTATTTCAATAGTTCCTCTAGTTTCTGAATAAGAGACATTTGAATGTCAA